TTTTGTCACCCACTTTCATCTCAGCAACCAGGAAAGCTAGGAGACTGAAACTTTGGATATATGTTCCTATACTGTTCCTCTTTTGAGTTACCTGTTCTCTTCAAATTTGCAAAAATTATAAAAACAATTGTTAAGTACGCATAAAATATCAGCAGATTAAGAGAAATGTTCAACCTGCTTCAAGAGAAGAGGAGTTCGCGCATTCGGTGAATCTTTGCGATCGCCCGTTTCCACAATAAATGCTCTCTTCAATGGCTGTATTATGCCACATTCGCGTGCAACACTCAGGGCTGTCAGGATGTTATCGCCGGTCACCATGATCGCCCGCACTTGAGCTCTGAAGAATTAAAAATAAATGACTGCAGTGAAAATAATGCATCACAGCTCTCGGAAGATTCTGGACCTGTACTAACTATCCGTTCCACCACCTATCGAACGTGAAAATAACTTACTTGTTTAGCTGATGGATTACGCCCACAGTTTGCTCTTTCAATCGATTTTCCATTACCACTAGACCCAGCAATTCCAGATCACTTTCAACCTGAAAATTTCCAGCTCACTGCCAGTGGCTGGCTATACGTGGCGTAATTTCTGCACTCTATTCCGTACAATGATTGACAAACCATGCAATGATGGCGAACACGAAATTATTCTGATACTGATCGGGAAAATTTCAGCAGTCAGCCAAAAACTCGAGGATTTGTTTTTTTTTTTTTTTTAAAAAAGTCGTTCCTGGCTTAAATCAGAAGAATATTTATGCTAACAGAAGCCGATAAATCCTAAAACAAGTCCATCTTCCAAAAAGTGGATGCGAAAACAAGCTGAACGCAATGAAAGTCTTCTACAAGTTAATCAGTCATATTTCGACTATCTCCTGGAAAGCCGCCACCAATCATCATGCGCTGCAACGTGCAACGGTGGTAATTCCTTGCTTTTCAAGAACTACTTCCATCAAAGCTTCTTCGTTCACAATGTTACATCATCAGCTGCGCTCGATTATTTAAAAATTAGGAAGCATAAAATTTACAATAAATATCGACAAGCAACGGAGGGTTTGAAAAAAAAAGCAAACAAGACAAACCACTTCTCTGTTCACTTTTTGCGATTTAGCAAAACTGATGTAAAGCTTTTTGTAGGCGACGGCAATCACACGATATCCGTGCTCGGCATATTCATTTACCACACTCTGAAAAAACCGTTTTTTTATGCGTTTTGTGCTGTGTAACAGCAGTACAAAACGCATATTGTTACGGGGTTGTCTG